AGCAGGGAGCCCACTTCTCCCTCTCCCTCTGCTGCTCCCCCGTTTGTGCCAGCAAATAAATAAAATACTTTAAAAAATTAAAAATTAAAAAAAAAATCCTTACATCATGTAAACAAAAGAAACTTCATTGGAAAAAAATCCACTCTGCTATACAAGCAGTAACCTCAACTTAGTCCCTTTGCCAGAAATACAATTGGGATCCAACTGTTCTTTTATGAATTAGTGAGTTTTGCATTATTATGGCTATCAGCTCATGACTAAATTTCTCTAAACAAAAGCTATAAGATCCATTTGCATCTATCTGTATGTTTCTGTACGTCTATGTTTATATGTTTTATAGATGTGTGATATTTTTCTAAGTCCAGATGGTATCGCCAAAACTAATGTGTAAGGAGCTCTATATAACTGTCTTAAAGAAAAAGAAGCACTCATAAAGTATTCTTGAAACCCTCAGAAACAAAAACTAACCCAAACGTTTTTCAAGTTCACAGGACTTGACATAACCTGTGGAAAGTAAAACTTAGTTTAAGTTTGCTGGCTTAATAAAAGCAAGCATGTCTTCAAAATATGTCAATAAAAAAAAAAATAACTTAGGATGATGGTTATCTGCTTAATATCTAATCCAAGCATAATTGTTAAAAACAAATAATTTAAATAAATGTAAATAAGAAAAGTTTGTACCAAGTTAAACTAAATAGTGAATATTCCCTGAATATCTAAATCACTTCCAAATGAGATAATATACTAAGTCATAAAATACCAAACATAAGTTTACCTACTTCGGGCTTTTTTTTTTTCTATGCAGTATTGTAGTACTACTAATATTTTATTTAAAGAACTAACTTTAAACTTATACTGAAATAAACTATACATTACTACCAAAAATGGAAAAAAAAAAAAAAAAAAACCTATCACTTGCTAGGAGTAAAACATAACCACACCTATAACTATAACAAATATAAACCAATGATATTTTTGCCTGCTGGAGTTTGGAGATTGCGGTAATGCTCTTTTTGTTAAAATGAATCATTAGCAAGTATAAGAGAATTACTAAAGACAACTAATAATTTTTCCCTAAAACTAATAAGGATTAAAAAAAAGTTAAAAAGGAAGTAATTATTGCTATGTGATCCAATATACTTTTTATCATGTCTGGGTGCCAACTAAAATTGACCTCAGTAAATCAGTGTTTTGGAAATGCCATTTAAACCCGTTTAAGTTTGCTCTCTGAATTGGTTCCTGTCATGGTTATCTATCAGTACTACCACACTGACGCAAATCTACCTTAGAATGAATGGTTTTTATTAAGCACCTCCCTTGTGCTACTATGCAAGGTTCTTATTTATGTTTAATTTTTACTTTCATTTACATCATCTGCTACAAGGTAACCTAAATCTAGTTCTTCATCTTCTAGCAAAATAAATTCTGAATAAGTTCAAGCTATGGCAACTATCCCTTCATTTATAAGAAATCACTATATTCTATTGGCACCTGCCAACACTTTTACCCTACCCTGGCTTACTCATACAGTCTTGAAAGAGTCACTCATGCTTTAGTAGCCTACGATTCATCAGAACACGCCAACTTTTGACTTTTTAGTATTTGCAGAGAGAAAAAAGATACTTGGGTCTATTAATAACCATGTCCTTTGCCACATTAAAAACTATACTATTAAAAAAATGTATGTCTCTAAAAAGTTTTTATAACTGTGTATTTATAAATTTGCCAGTCCACAATTGCTTACTTCTTGGTTTTTACTAGCAACTAAAGATTGTAAGAGTTAAGAATTCTAAATAATATATGTAATTAAAGCTCCTAGAAATAATAAGGATGAAAGAAAACAATAGTATATGGAAAGCAGTTAAAGAAAATATAACGTGTTTTTTGGACAAAGAAATACATGAAAAACGTGGGTTTTGCTATTGTTTTGGTAAGGGAAAAAGGAAAGTAATTTTGTCTGAAAGTAAAATGATAATTCCAGAATGAGAAGGGGAAAAAAACGAAGTAAAAACTGGATGGATATAAAAAATTGTAGAGGGTGCCTAGGTGGCTCAGTCAGTTAAGTATCTGCCTTTGGCTCAGGTCCTGATCCCAGAGTCCTGGCATCTAGTCACACGTCTTTAGGCTCCCTGCTCAGTGAGGAGTATTTTTCTCCTCCCTCTGCCCCTCCCTCCTGCTCTGCGTGCTCTCGCTCTCTCTCTCTCTCTCTCAAATAAATAAATAAAATCTTTTTTTTTAAGATTTTATTTATTTATTTGAGAGAGAGAGGGAGAGAGTGAGAGAAAGCATGAGAGGGGAGAAGGTCAGAGGAAGAAGCAGACTCCCCATGGAGCTGGGAGCCTGATGGGGGACTCAATCAGGGGATCCCAGGATCATGACCTGACCCAAAGGCAGTTGCCTAACCAACTGAGCCACCCAGGCGCCCCAAACAAAATCTTTTTTTTTTAAAAAGTTGTAGAAGTCTTATGGAAAAGGAATTGAAAAAGGAATTTTATGTGTGGGCTAGCTAAGATTCAAATGGACTTAAGTTTTTGCAAAACTGTTCCCACAAAAGTGCTTTATCTCCAGAGACTCATGGAAAAGACTGACAAGTAGAGGTTTCTGTTAATTTTACTATCATGACACTGAACTGAGTAAGAATTTCTAAAAGTCTAGTGGAAAACTGATTCATAAAATTATTAATCCAAGATAAAGCAAAACAAGAATTACAGGAGACTCAATGAACTAATGAAGATGATTATAATTTTTTATGACTTCATTTAAAACAATGATGGTTCTTCAGTGTTTTGTTTTCCAGATTTAAGTCTCTCTTTCTTTCCTCTTTTAGGCTATTGATAGCTTATAATGATGATTCAGTAGAACCTACTTCTGTCATCAACAGTTGAAACATTTATCTTTTTCTCCCTACCTGATACCGCCAGAATTTAGAAACTCTTACTAAATATTCTTATTTTTCATGACAATATATATATTTACATAAACTCAATCTGATTTCCTTGTAATAGGACAATATTAGACAAGTTCTTAGCTTGGCTACTTTAGCCCAAAGAGCCTTGAAAAATTCAATCTAATTTTTTTTTCTTTTTAAGATTCTTTATGAAAAGTTCCAGCAAAGTAGATTTAAAAGAGCTTATATCATCACCATTTCTGCTACACTTAATATAGATAATCAGGCCAAATTTATTGAAACTAGACTCAGTTTGCAAACAAATTAGTCTAACTGTAGTTATCTTGATAGAAATGGGATGATTATAGAGAAAAACTATGTTTCAGTAATACACTTCTGTGGCTATCAGATTCTACTGCTGGTAACTGCCCTTTAGGTTTTATTTTCTATTTATAAACTGGGCTGGATGCTAAATTCTAGTTTCCTCCAAAATCTGGCTAGAACTCTACAAACTAACACTTCCAATTTCCTCCCACTCTTCTGACTTGGAATCACTATAAAAATAAAATGGCCCTTTTCCCAAAGCCATGCAAGCTAAAGCTGGACAACTGGATATAAACTTCAGAGAAAGGATCCAAAAGAGTACATGTGAGGAGGACAATGTGCTGATGCTACTGGTCACTCAGCGTAATCACCTCTGGGGAATCTCCTCTGGGAATTTCTCCTTAAATCATATTTACCTCTCTAATGTGCTGCATACTCTCAAGGGTTTTAAAGACGGGTCAGCAGCTACTCCCATGCCAAACGGTATCCATCAGATCAGACAACTGGATGAAATCAACAATAACCCCATAAATGATGAAGATGTGACATGATGCCTGAGCCTAATGACTCAACTAATGGCAACAGCAAAAATGTGACTCTTCAGCCTGAATACATCAACAGAGGAACCTGAAAACCACACTATACTGGTTGATCAGAATAACCAAAAAGGAGGAATTGTTAAAATAAAAAGCAAACCAGTCTTGAAAATTCCCTGAGCAGACAAAACCAGTTTGGTGATACAAAGCTCAGTTGAGCTTATTTTCTAAGACTAACTTCAGCTAGACAATTACTTGTTTATACCGTTGGAAAATACAAGCAAAAACCGTTTCCCAAGGTTGATATGAGTAACCACTAACCAATTCCTTGTCACCTCGGGAAATCACCGCGGAGACTGCTTACTCTCTAAGCTACTTTGCAACAACATACCCCTGATCCTCATTCCCGTTTTGGCTTGAGCTCTCCCGGTTCCCCAGCTGTTCTGTGGTGGGTGCACAACAGACGTTTACTAATGACTACTGCAGGGACCCACTGGTGTTCCGTTTGCTACTTCCGAACTCGCGACAGCACCACAGTAAATACTTCACGGAGTCACAGCCCGTCATTGGGCCTGGAGCAAACACCGCTGAGGAACCACAGGCTAGAGCAGACGCCCGCCCCCCTCTCCCCAGCACCGGCCTTTAGAAAACAACAGCTCCCCTATGCTCGTGTGTCCCCCGGTGGTGCTACCCATATACAGACTCCGGTAACCTAGCTTCCTGCGTGGACAAGGCTAGAGATGGGGGCGGCGGGGGAGGCAGTCCGACACGCCCCTCAAGGACCAAGTTCCATCGGAGACCGGCGAAGTCCTCGCCCGTCTCTCTCCTACCGCTGTATCAGAGAACGGAAGTGACCCGCGACACACCGGCCTCACCCTCAGGAGGGAAAGGCAAAATGAGCCCTCTCAGAGCAGATTTACCCCGAACTTTTCCCCAGGGGTTAAAGGACCCCTTTACCCCACCCAGCCCAGCCACCTCGCTCTCCGACCTTAAAGTGCCGGCCCTCGGTACCACTACTTACCGATTTCAGCCGCTCTCCCATGAAAACTTCCCGCCACCAGCCTTTCCTTTTCCTCCAGCTGCGAGCACCCGCCCTTCCGGTTAGGTTTCCTCAACCAATAACAAGTGACACCCTTCTCTAATTGGTGAAGAGGTGCAACCACTATGTGCGTCATCGAACAAGACTACGGATGATTGGTTCACCTTGGGGGCGGGCTTAGCCAATGGGAAGCGGTCTTGGAGCTGGGGTGGGGGAGGCTGCGTGTTTCCGGAAGACGTGGCGGCTCTCCCCTGGGTTGTTTCCCGGCTTCTCTTCTCCCGACTTTGCTTCACCCCCTGGGCGCCCGGAGGTCCGGTAGCCGCTGCCCTCACTGCCACAGCCATGATCTCCTTAACAGACACCCAGAGTAAGGACTTGCCCCGGATCCTCTTACACCCGTTCCTTGAGCTCGTCTCCATCCGCCCCTCTCTCCGGGTCAATGAATGAAGCTCGGCGTTGGGGGCGGCGGCCTGCGGGACTGAGCAAGGAATGCGGGACCAGGAGGACTGCCTTGAGGGAACGGGAGCTGGATTTGCAGTGGCCGACGTGGGAGGAGGATCAGGGGGATCTGGGGAGGGCGAAGTCTTTGCTGAGCCTAAGGGCACAAGGGTCCCACTGTTCTCACTCCCAGTGAGATGGGGGCTTTGTTCCTGCAGGTGGTCACAAGAGAAAGTTTGATGCGCGGTGCCCGGGGTTCACACTTGGGAATATTTGTGCACATGACAGGCTGGGGGTCCTCTACTGGCCGGTTGTTCGGGAGGCGGTATTTTAAGTGTCACCTAGTATGGGTTTGGGTCTTTTAAATACATACAAATATACATATATTATATGGTTACACTTAAATATTTCGAGTATTTCGCCTTTTGCCTCCTCTGGAAACGACCTTCCAAAGATTCCTTGAAACGACTTCACTCTTCTACCACCTAATGTTTCCACAGTAGTAAAAAAAGCCACCTTGTGTTCAGTGAAACGATTTATTTCCTTAATGTTGTGTATTGTGCTTCGTAGCTTGTTTTATTATTTTAGCATCTCTTTCTGCCTACCACAGAGTTCTCAAGGCCTAGCTTATGTCTAAGGTTAGCGTTGTTTCTGTTTCCGTTTCTTTCGTTATAACACTCTTATTTCTACCCTTTTGTCAACCTTAATCATTTTCGTATTTACATATCTGCCCAACCGTGTGGGTCCTATCTTCTAATGATCGTGATAGTCTTTTTGTCTCACATTGCTTTATCTGCTATGATCTTTATTTCTTATTCTGCTTAACTTAGTTTGATTTTCAAGATTTTAAGAACTAAATAGTCTGTTAAAAATAGAATTTCAGGGGCGCCGGGGTGGCTCAGTGGGTTAAAGCCTCTGCCTTCGGCTCAGGTCATGATCCCAGGGTCCTGGGATCAAGCCCCGCATCGGGCTCTCTGCTCCCCGGGAGCCTGCTTCCTTCTGTTTCTCTGCCTCCCTCTCTGCCTACTTGTGATCTCTGTCTGTCAAGTAAATAAATAAAATCTTTTAAAACATAAATAAATAAATAAATAGAATTTCATTGTAAATGCCCTACTTTAAAGTGGAGTCTTAAGGTTTGGATGGAAGTCATGGCTGACTTGAACTTGACAGAACTTCTCAGGTCTCATATACACTACCAACCCAGTCAGTCTCTTCTCATTCCTGTGGTTGGATGGGTCTGCACTTTGGAGTGGCCAAATGCACTGGCCCAGGAAGGGTACCCATTTTGGTCTGTTGGCCTGTTCTGATCAGAAAACACATAAAGCCCCTTTCTTTCTTTCTTTCTTTTACTGTTATAATAGGAACTAGCAATTGTATGAAGGCATCTTCTTTCATCTTACCAAGTGCTTTCAATATAAACCATTACTTTTTTATAAGAGCCCTATAAGGCAGGGAGAAGTATAGCTCTTTTATAAATTAAAAGATGCTCAAAAGAAATTCATTGTATGGTCATAAGGAAAATGACAGAAAGAAAACTTGATCGCAGGTCTGCTGGCTCAGAAACCTTTGTGTCCACTGTACTCTACTACCATCTAAGAAAACTGGGTATAAACTTTATTTGAGATCTGTCTTAGAATACTATGGGTCTTTCACAGCAAAAATAGATACAACATTAGGTATTTATCTATAAAATTATGCATTGATTTTTTTGATAGATTGTGTAGGATTATTCAGAGTCTATTGTCTTTGTGATAGCATCCTATTTCTCTTGATTAAAACCCAAATTTAAAATTAGGTTGTCCAAGAAAATTAGAATTGTATACATAAATTGCTAAAACTTATTTCTAATTCTCCTAATTAGAGAAAGTACTTAATCTTTACACAGCTTATCTATCTGTGAAGTATTATTACTTCTCCTGTCTGAGTCTGATTATTACATAGATTAAAAATATGAACTATGTATCCTTTGCATAAAGATTTTCTTCTATTGAAGACTTCTTATAGGGACAAATGCCTGATTTACATTCTTCCAAAATCCAGAACAAAGGGATTGGATTGGAATGTGGGCAGAATAGTGAGCATCCTCCTTCATTAAATCGATGAAGAAGATGAAATTATATTTTTTGTTGTTCATTTGCCAAATGTTTTGGTAGGACAGTGGATTGGAACACAAAATGGTTAGTGAACCAAAAGCTCTTTGGATTTCAAATGGTGTTTGTGTGTGTGTGTGTTTAACTGCAGAAATTAACCATCATTCAAGTAATTTACCAAGATTATTCTGGGATTCTGATTCTGGAAGAGAGTGACCAAGCACTGAGCAGAAAAAAAAGCAATTCATAATTGTTTTAAGGGGTTCTGTAATAACACTCTCCCACCCCCCTCCATAAAAACACAAGATTTATTGAGGGGGACAGAGTAGGCTAGTTCCCATGCTGCCTCTAGATCTTTACTTCATTATGTCACATTGCTTGGAATTCTACCATGATGTTCAGTTGAGTTGTTCAGCTTGGTTGATATTCAGTCCAGTTGTTTATTATGAAATTTTCTATTTTTAAAACACATGGTAGGAAAGAAAAAGCTAATGTTAAAATTTTCAACTAAGATATCAAAATGCTAACAGTCATTGCTATTGGATTAAGCATCTTTCCTTGTAAAATTTCCACGAAAAGGTGGTTTTTTTTTTCATTTTAGATAAATTGTATTAAACTGCTTTTAGCAAATTGTTCTTTTAAGAAAAAAGTTCTCATAAATAGACAAAAGGAATGCAGGTTTGATAATCGCACCAGAGAAATATAAATTTATTTTACTGGGTATGATTCTGGTGGTGAGCAGGGAACGCTGTGTAGGGCTTTGCTTATGAATGCATAGACAGGGAAAATGGGAATTTGGGAGATGAGAAAGGGCACAGTGAGTCCAGTTAGAGACTTTTGGCCCCCTTAGGCCAGGAAATACTTGGCAACAACATGCCAGTGTGAGTTCTGGCAAATATGTTACAGGCAACTGTCTCTTCCTGGGCTTACACTGGATGAAATAGTACAAATGTTTTGGTGCCCATGTTACAGTTGTAAGCTGTGCAGTCCAAAAACTGAGCTTGAATTCTAGCCTGACTCCCCACAACCACCACTCTTCCTGCCCAGCCGCTGTGCAGTCCCCCACCATGCGTACACATACATACATTTGCTGATTTTATAAGCAAGGATAAGTTACAAATCTCTGAGTCTGTGAAATATGGGGCTCGTGCTACTTTTCACCTCACAGCTTTGTTAAAAGAATTGCAACATATTTGTATAAACATTTCAGTGAATGTGAAACCATATCCAGATACTATCTTTTTCACTCCAGTCAATTTTTAATACTTATATTAATACCTACTTAGTTGTTAGATAACAACTAATCCTATTAAACTTGAATCACCTAAGGGTGCTTCCTCCAGATGTCCAGTATACTCCAGTGCCCTTGAGTTTCATTTAATCAAACATATTTAACCTGAAAAAAAAAAAAAATCCTGTAGGAAGCAGTATGATGTAATAGTTCAGCATAGGGACTGAGTTCAAATCCTCAACCAGAAGTGTGACTGTGGGCAAACAAAGTTGTTTCTCCAAATCTCAATTTCCTCCATTTCTAAAAGGATGTAATTTCACCCACCTTGCAGTAGTATGGGAAGGATTAAGTAATATAAGGTATGTAAAGTGCCCCATCATGGATAATTCATGGCAAATCCTCAGTCCATAGCAGGTGTACTTCCATATAATTTCCTGTCTGATAACAAATATCTCAAAAATTTGGGGGTGCCTGCATGGTCCAGTCCCTTAAGCATCCAACTCTTGATTTAAGCTCACGTCATGATCTCAGGGTCATGAGATTGAGCCCTTTGTCAGGCTCCCCACTCAGCACAGAGCCTGTGTGAGATTCTTTGCCTCTCCCTCTGCCCCTGCTCCCATCCGAGCTGTCTCCCTCCCTCTCTCTCTAAAATAAATAAACTCTTGAAAAAAAAAAAAAAAACCTCAAAATTTTTATGTAATCATTAGGATAATTTATGAAAAGGTAGAAATTAGTCCTATTTAAATCACTCAACTGCCAGTGACTAAATCCTAACTACTAAATAGTTATACAATGGAATTTTACTTGTTCTTTTGTCCATATTTTCTTCCAGGAAATTATGACAGCTCAACAGCTCAGCAGTCATTTTGGTCAATTATCTTAAGGGGTTTAAGCATGAAAGCATTAGCCTCACATTTTCGTAGGATTTTGTCTGTTGAATACACTTATAATATTTATATTTGTATATAATATATATATTTATATACCAGTACCTGAATTCTTTTAGGCTAACTTTGGGGGAAAAGGTTGTTGGAATGGAAGGCAGTAGTTAACTGTAAATTGAGGAGTTCGGGGATGTAGAAAAATAAATGACAGAAGTGTTCAACTCTGTTATTTTACAAGGACATTTTACATGGCTTAAATTTTTTTTGAGTAGCTGTGACCTAGATTTTGGCTTTCTGGAGCCAAGGCCAAAAAGTTAAGTAACAGATCAGAAATCATAAATAGTGTATTTAAAATTGGGTTTCTAAAAATATGATGGTTTCTGCTCTGTTTCATTATTTCATGTAGATAGTATGTATCTGGGTAAAATAAGATTTGGTAAGTATTTCCTGAAAGCAAAACTAAAATGATCAAAGAGGTGACTTAGTGGCTTAGGCTTTTAGCATTAACAGAAAAGGACAACTATAATCTTGGAAAGTTAAGAATCCTCAGAATAAAAAGATAAGACCAAGAGAATGTAAAGGTAATAAAATCATTGGTTTTATATAAGGATGAACATAAACATCAATGCTTACACTTCGATCACCGCTATATGCTCCATACCTAGAAGAGATGCTGGCATCTAGGAGTTGATTCTTTGTTTTTGAATGAAAAGAATAAAACCCCAGCACATTAATATTAAGTAAAACTATTCTTTGAAACGTTTGGAGAGCTGATATTAGTACTTAGACACTAATTGTGTGAACGGATTCATGGGTTAGATAATTTATAGATGATAAAAACATATCATCAAGAAGTTAAAATTGATGCCTAACCTCCTGAAAATTAACTTTTGAGGAGACAACGATGTGCTTCTCAAAATACTGCCCTTGTGAGAAGCAGTGTGTCATGAAGTATATTGTGCTGACCTATGATAGCATTTCTACTAGGTTAAAGAAGGTATTAATTTAAGAGGGGAAGGAATTAACTGTAGATATTGTGCATATAAATAATAGTCCTAGAATATGAAAGATAAATAGTAAAAGAAAACCCATATAGTTATGTTTGATGCCAGAGGGGTTCTTGGGAGGGAGAAAGTATATAATTAGAGGTTTAGAATCCTGATGATCTTTCTCTGTCATGCATATGTTTATGAGAAGTGCTATCTGTCATGTAAGGATTAGAGATTTCCATTTATATCTTAAATTTTGAGGTTATTTGCTGCTATTAGTTCAATCTATTATAGATCTTAATGAATGTCATAAAGTTAACCTGCAATGCTGAGACCTACTTTCTTATATCAGCCAAAAGAAAAACAAAAATTTTCTTAGTTTACAGGATCTTAACGTAACTTATATTTTTCTCTGCCCTTAACTATATAACTTATATTGCAGAAATTGGAATGGGATTAACAGGATTTGGAGTGTTTTTCCTGTTCTTTGGAATGATTCTCTTTTTTGACAAAGCTCTACTGGCTATTGGAAATGTGAGTTTTTCAACATATGTTTTAACTGAAGTCATAAGGAAACTTGAATTACAAATGAATTATTGCCTGCTATTAAATTTTGGGGGAAATAATTTACTGTTACTCATGTAAAGATTCCTATTGTCTTCTCTGTTTACATTGGTAATAAAAACCTGTTTCAGCCTGGGTGGCTAAGTTGATTAAGCACCTGCCTTTGGCTCAGGTCATTATCTCAGGTTCCTGGAATGGAGCCCACATCAGGGGCTCCCTGCTCAGTGGGAAGCGTGCTTCTCCCTCTCACTGTGCCTGTTCCTCCCCCTGCTTGTGCTCTCTCTCTCTCTGTCATATAAATAAAATCTGTAAAAACAAGACAAACAAACAAACAAAACCTGTTTAAATAAAAGGTAAACACTTCAAGAGTTTTTTTTTTTTTTTCATTTATTTTTTTATAAACATATAATGTATTATTAGCCCCAGGGGTACAGGAACCCTCCCCAATGTCCATAACCCCACCACCCTCTCCCTACCTCCCTCCCCCTGGCAACCCTCATTTTGTTTTGTGAGATTAAGAGTCTCTCATGGTTTGTCTCCCTTCCCTTCCTACTCCCCAAACCCCCCACATTGCATTTCCACTTTCTCATATCAGGGAGATCATATGATAGTAATCTTTCTCTGATTGACTTATTTCGCTAAGCATAATACCCTCTAGTTCCATCCACGTCGTCGCAAATAGCAAGATTTCATCTTTAAAGAGGTTTTTGAATGACTACCCTGTTGAGTGTTTGATATGTAATATACAATAGATTAAATCAAGGCTGCCTTTAGATAAGAGTTCAAAGTAGATGACTTGGTAGCCCCCATGTCTTGGTAAATTTATTAATATGTCTAACTTAAAACATACGACTTGAAACATTTGGTTCGGTAACATAAAATAAACAGATTTTTAAAAACCATTTAAACCTCTTAATATATCTGTATATTAAGAGTCGATTTGCTGAGAAAAGTATGTTTATTGTTTATTTGGAATATGTACTTTGTTGTCCATGTGTGAAGGTTGTGCAGGAGTTCTGGAAATAAATCATAACCCTTTGAAGAAGACAACAAAGTTACTGAATAGTGTTAAGTATCTTCAAAGTATACATTATCATAGAGCTTTTAATTGGAAATTAGGAAATATAAGGTTAACAAAACTATTCCAAATTGATGTTTTAGTTAATAATATAAGGGCCATTGCTCACTGAGAATATGAAGCTTAACTGTTTAGAATATGAAGCTTAACTGTTTAGGCTCAAACATTATAGATAGTTACAAAGGCAAGTATTAGGATTAAAACCTGGGGAAAAAGCAAGCTTTTAATAGATGACCATCTTTGCTCGCTATCTGAAAACATACAAAATATGTGTATATTTGAGAACATACAGCTTTATTTTTATTTCTGCTGCCACCATAGATTCTGAGATAAGTAAGACTAAAATCTTCTTCCTGGCTTTGCATGGTTTCCTCTATCAGCTTGGCCATGTCAGTATTTCTCCCATCCATAGGAACTCCTTTAGCCCATGGTGAAGTGTATTTCCAGGTGACATGTTTATGGGCTGCCTTCCTCTTTCGCTCTGCCACTCCTCAGCTTAACTAAAGCCCTCTCCATCTCGCTTACCTGGGAAAACACTGCATATGCACCTGCCTTTTGGTAACATCTGATCTTTCTTTGATACTCTTTTTCTCCATTTAATCAAGATAGAAGAGGACTGAGAAGAGTGGAATCCAACTCCAGCTTTCCTGTGCTTAGCCCACTCCTTGATTCTGCCTCTTGGCGTGCATCATAGTTTCCTCCAGCCAGTTGCCCCCACTGAGAGCCAGATGTGCTGCTTTTAATTATATTTAGCTTTGAACTTGCTTTTCAAATTTATGCAGTGTGTTTGACTACTTTTTCTATCTTGCATCTTCTTTCTCTTCTAGGTTTTATTTGTAGCTGGCTTGGCTTTTGTCATTGGTTTAGAAAGAACATTCAGATTCTTCTTCCAAAAACATAAAATGAAAGCTACAGGATTTTTCCTGGGTGGAGTATTTGTAGTCCTTATTGGTTGGCCTTTGATAGGCATGATCTTTGAAATCTATGGATTCTTTCTCTTGTTCAGGTAAGGCAATTATTTTATTTTACTTTTTCTCTTTCAATAAACTAGTATGCCAGATAATTAATTATTACAAAAACCTAGACATTTGCATCAGCATGAGTACAAAGACCATAATTTTCTCAAATGGATTTTTTTTTACATTGAATCTTTTATTGAATCTCTTATTAGATAATTCAGTCAACTATAAAAATGTTTATTAAATGTAGATGATTGCCAGTAGGGTTACTGTCTTGTATTTTCAACATGATAAAATTGGTTTTTATTGGGAATTTAAAGCATTATCTTTCTATTGAAGGCACTTTGCATTTAAGGCACTTTGTTATTTTTAGCAACGAAACACTGATACATACATACATACATGAATTTTAATTCATAGAACCTGATACTGCATAGTTACTGCCACTGGATGACAATTCTTTTAGTACATACACACAGAAAATTTTGTACCAGACACAGTATGGTAGATTTTGATCAGTGTTTTACAAATGCTAGTTACTAAGTGAATAAACAACAGTATTCTATGTGAGAAAATACCTTTTAAATAAGGTTGGTTTAATTATTTATTCAAGACACGTATATCCTTTGTCTTCTATCTGCCAAATACTGTGTCATTCACAGGAGACATAAAACCAAAGTAAGTATCAGATCTGCTTTAGAGAATGTCTCATTTCTGATAATGGGAAATAGACTATAAAGAGACCAGCAGGGTATAGTAGTAATGTGTTATAAATGTATAAGCACAATACTGTAGAAGTATAATAAAGAGATGAAATCCGGGGAGAGGTAAGAAACATTACCACTAAAGGTAACATTTGAAATTTGAAATCTCCAGAACGTTCAAAAGTTTAACTAGATCTTTTCTTTTTACTTGGTTAGCAGTTGATTTTGGTAATAAGAATCTGTAAGTTCTGAGAACCATTTTTTCCTTCTTCCTAGGGGCTTTTTTCCTGTGGTCATTGGCTTTATTAGAAGAGTGCCAGTCCTTGGATCCCTCTTGAATTTACCTGGAATTAGATCAGTAAGTTATCATGTATTAGAAATAAAATTTTTAAACCATCAAAATAATACTCTTTGATGCTCCTCAAGGAATACAATAATCAATACCTGAATGATAAGTTTTTTATTATGATATAAATTGTTACATCACCGTAGATCATGGTTACCATGAATACCAGAGAAAATAATCATTGCTAACTGTAAAAAACCTGAAATTCTGTTTCACTATATCCATTTTTAATATTCTTGATTTTTTAAAATGTAACTCAGACTGATATGCTATGCTGCCTTTCTCTTTGAGAGTTCAAGGTACTTTACAATTAACTTTTATATGATTTCTAATCTTAGAAGTCATTATGTAAAAAGGACGTCATTATTTCTTTGTTCTTTTTTTTTTTTTTTTAAGATTTTATTTATTTATTTGACAGACAGAGATCACAAGTAGGCAGAGAGGCAGGCAGAGAGAGAGAGAGGGAAACAGGCTCCCTGCTCAGCAGAGAGCCCGATGCAGGGCTCGATCCTAGGACCCTGAAATCATGACCTGAGCTGATGGCAGAGGCTTAACCCACTGAACCACCCAGGCACCCCAGGATGTCATTATTTCAAATAAGATTTTCTTTCTTAGACTGTATCACTGAATAGCGTGCATTAAGACAATTAAATCAATCACAATTATACTGGAAGTCAGATGATAAAATTCTGTTTCCAGCTCTCTCCACAGTTTGAATGATCTCACAAATCTGTTCCTTCAAGATGGGCCATCAACTTCCTAAAGTTGTTTACAGACGTTTGTAGATGTTTGTAGAGAGATAATCTGTAGCATTAACTGGTTTCTCAGAGAGCTAAAGGATGTCTTACCCACTGAAGAATGGGTTTTGCTGTAAGACAAAATCTCATTTCCAACCTCAAGTCAATTTTACAGTCAGAATCTTATAGCCTAGACAACCTAGATATTTGAAGTTACCTTTGGGGAGAGAATGTTGTGCTTTCTCTCCTCCTAAATTTGCTTTAAAATCCTAATGAATCCATGGTACTTTCAAAGCAGCTTTTAGTTTTGACGTGCCAATCACCTATTTATAATGATATAAAATGTTGGAATTTGGGCTGATAGGGGGTTATGTCCAGATCTCATTTACATTAATCTCCAAACTCATACTGTAGTCAATGTTGTTTTTACTTATGAATTTTACTGAATTTCTACAATGGCTTTTGAATTTACCGAAACTTCTAGTTATACAGTTGTAAACATTATTCACATCCTTAATTTAAGGATTCTTCAGTATCTGCGTAAATGGACAGCCAGTACTATAAATTATGTTTCCTATTATTATTACTTCATTATAATAAATGGTTCAGTAAAAATGTGAATAGTGAAATGAAAGGAAGGGCTAAATGATTGCTAGATTTTGATAGTATTATGACCACTTGGGTTACATAACTTTTAATATGTCTCCACTAATTATTTTGTTTTAATATTTGCATCACCATCTGGAATGCTGAAGAAGGCCCAGTTGCTTTACATTTGGGGTGGAGTAGCCAAAGTAAATAACCACTTACATTAACGTGTGTTAAAATTTATATTCAGTAACTATAAATTTATGCTTGCCTCATTACATCTATTTTTAATGTCATTGCCACTTTCAGTCTGAAGTCCAGAACACAAATTTAAAGTATTTTTAGTCAATAGATGTTGTTAATTACTGAACTTAATGGAGTTAAATCTGTTTGTTCAAAGACTACATAGGCCCAGAAGAGATCCTCAGTAATGGTCAGTTGAAATATCTTATTGGGTTCATTAATGCATGAATGGCTGACATTTCAGCTTTTTATTTATTTTTTTTATTTTTTGTTAAGCTAGCAATGTTAACTTCATTTTATCCAATTTTTTTATTCATTGTGTTGCATTTCTCGTGTTGTACCCTTAAAGTCATATGCATAACATGTCATGGAAAAACAATCTTAGCAAAGAAAATTTTTTTATACACATTTGCGTGTCAGGAGATTGTGGTGAGTAGTACTGGATTAACCATTGTCAGTCACACCTTAAATTTCCACGAATTTTATATAGCTGGGTATTTTAATCAACATTTAAAATGTTGATACAATGTTTTTATAATGCTGTGGGCTTTCTTTTAATTACCTGTTTTTCTTCTCCTTGCAGTTTGTAGATAAAGTTGGAGAAAGCAACAATATGGTATAACAACAAGTGAATTGAAGACTCATTTAAAATATTGTATTATTTATAAAATCCTTTGAAGAATATTCAGCACAAAATTAAATTACATGAAATAGCTTGTAATGTTCTTTACAGAAGTTTAAAACGTGTAGTCTACAGAGTACCAATAGCAGTTAACAAAGAGGCCATGAGAACAGGCTTCTAATCAAGTGAGCTAAGAAGTCAACAAGCAAACTAAAGGAGATGAATCTATGTTACAATACTTATTGAAACTCTTGAAGGCGATTTTTATTGTTTATCCACAATATGCGAAACACAGCCATCCTTGGAGAACTCTGGGGCCTGTTTCTTTTCTTCTTCTTTTGAAGGTGCAGAAGAACCCATAGGCTGGCGTGGCAAAAGTATTTCCAGTTGCACTGTGTGTCTGAAAGTGATGCATGAGTTAGATTGGATTATGTCATTTAATGTATTAAAACTAAGGAAAATCCAGTTTTGATGTATTAATCACTTTTTTTTGTAAACATATGGTTAAAATAAAACATTTGTGGTACTTCTGATTCTTAATATTTTAAAGCCAGATGAAAATCTGAACTAGATATTCATTGACAGAATATGCAAAGGTCATTCTTTATAACTAAAAACTCCAGAACTACTCATACTTCTTGAGAGTCTGACCTAATTATCTGTATCCTTCATTACATGTAAGCATCTAACAAAAACCATTAAGTAGTCTGTTACATACCTTTTTTCATTGAATAGTCTTTTATTTAAGATACCAAATGATGCAAGCCAAATGGATTTTTCTGTCATGGTGTAGTTTTTCTTTTTTGTGTTTTGTTGTTTTTTGTTTTTCTTTTTTACTTTTTAGTGATTTTATCATTTTCCTTTTCATAAGTTAAATAACTATTGATAATGTTTAATATGTAACATGTTAAAAGGTTAAATTTACATTTGTTAAGAGCTTTTCATGTAAAGCTGAGTTTTCCTTTATTTTTAGCTTTTTCCTAACATCAAAATCAATATGCATGATGAATCCTTCATAAGATCACTCTTTGTCTTGAGTTCATGGAGAAAATATCTGAATTCACATGCTAAAGTTAGTTTACTATAATTAAACAGACTATAGTTTCTTAAAAACATGACACTAAAAAAATGTGTTGTTTTTTTCTACCATTGATGCTTATCTGGCAGAAAGAAACAGTGGCCATTTCTTCATTAGTTTTCTGAGGTGGCTGCTTTTCTGGTACATGTAAGAACACGTTTCTGCAGTTATAGTACTACTTGTTTTACCACTAATGATTGCACTATTTACTTTTTTTTAACAGTTGCATAGCTTTTTAATGCACAAAATCATAACTGAAATTTGTGATTTTTATTTACAAACACGTCTACAAATTATATCACAGCTTATGTTATTTTTAGTTAAATCTTGATGCACAGAGAACACCCATCCTTGCTTGTCTAAAGAAGGAAAGACTTGGTATATAGTTCAATGGTTCAGTCTTGTGGATTACTGCATTTTGGTACTGGCATTTGACTTATGACATAATCTGTGAAACTAGATGATATTGATGAAATGAGACTCCTACCTCAATAGTTCATGGAATAATAAGAGATCTAGTGTTGTGTCTAATGTTCTTCAAAAAAGTAATATCCTCATTTGGAGAGTGTCAAATATATACATATTTTGGGGATCGACTTATACAAGTTGCCCTGTAGGACTCTTATACATATTTTTGACTGATCCATATTATTTTCAGTGGCTAGATAATTCTATCTTTTTAGAACAAGAACTGTATCTGTTAATGTAAGGAACATCTGTATTATTTAACTCCTTTGTAGACATGAATTTCTATCAAAATGTTCTTTGCACTGTAGCAGATCTCTTTTTCAAAATCTTACTTCAGAATCATTATTAGAAGTTGTGTAAAGGATTTGATAATCTCCCAGTCCTTAGTAAGATTGAGAGGCTAGAGCAGTTTTCAGTTTTCAAAGAGTCCACAGTTAATTTCAAATGTGAGTTTGGGGCTGCTTGGCAGCATTCGTTGTATATTTCTTCTCAGAACCACTGATGAGGCTCTGTTTTTAAACATACTAGTCTTCTGACAGAAAGCACTATACATTATATTGTTTCTTTCTTTCCAAAGTTAGCCTTCTGTCTTTGTGACAAAAATATACTTTGATTATTGCTATGAAGATGGAGGAAAAGGTCTAATACTACTTAGCCTTAAGTGTACCTGGCATTGTTCAAATGTATTTTCTGTAATAGAAACATACTTGCAATGTTTTTCTTTTCCCCTTATAAATTGTAATTTCTGGAATATTGCTGCTTTAAAAAGTCTCACAGTCAGATTATATGATCTAACAATTGAATATTGTAAATACACTTGTCTTACCTCTCAATAAAAGGGTACTTTTCTATTAATTGGTGGTTGTCTTAGCTCGGGCTACTCTAACAAAATTCTGTAGACTGGGCGGCTTAAACAGACACTTGTTTCTCACAGTTGTGGATGCTGGGAAGTCCAAAAAGAAGGCGAGGGTAGACTCGGTTATTGGTGAGGACCCTCTTTGTTGCTTTCAGACAACTGCCTTCTTGCTACATCTTCATATGGCAGAGAAAGCTTTAGTCTCTGTGTCTTAAAAGGACATCAATCCTGTCATGGGGCAAGGGGATTCGTCTTCATAATCCTAATTGCCTCCCCAAAACCCCTCCTCCAAATACCCTCACATTGGTGGTTAGGGCTTCAATATATGAATTTGGGGAAGATACATATTCAGTCCTTAACCATGGTCAAATGTATCTTTATAATGAAATTCAAACAATTAATTTAGCATTGCACAGTAACTCACCTTATTTTTTTAAAAATTAGCCTTATATGCAGTTTTTTTTTAATAAAATGGTCATCATATTTTCCATTTCTAAATTGTTTAAATGTAATCATAAATAGAAATGGATTTCAGGTTAAAAAAAAAAGTGGGCAGTGAACTTAGAAATAGTGGAAAAATGTTTAAATATATTTTCTCAAAATGAAAAGAATTGGCTAAAAACATTAATAATAACATAATAAGTATTTGTGACAGACAAAACCACTTCACTGTCTTGATTATAAATTTTGGTACAGCTAAAAATCACTAGCCATGTGTACCACTTAAAGTACCCTTATAAGTATTTGTTGAATCCAGTACTTGAACTGCAGGTCTTGACTATTGTCTGGTGAGCCAGAAGTCTTAAATCTTTTTAATAGATTTCTAACTTTGTTCTCTGTGCTGAAAGTTTCCAACCTCTACTCTTCTGCTACCTGTACCCCATGGAGGAACTAGGACACAGAAGTAGGATGCCCCAAATCCAACAACTGGCACACTTCTCCATAACCTTACCTCTACTAGCTCTCTAATCAAAAGGTCACCTCTGTCATATCGCTCTTGACTCACTATAGCAGAACAGCTGGTCCATCCTTGTCCTCTCATAGAACTTTCCACTTGTTTAAAGTATTTGATTACAAGAAGAGAGATTTTCGAGATTCAAAGCCTCGAGGAGGAAGACTGTAGATGCTGACCAATGAGTGGGAAGTTTTATTTTGGAGGGCAGGCCTTCTCTGTGCCCCTGAATGACAGGTAGCCCTTTGAGGAAGTGACTTCTATTTGTGAGACAGCTGGCTGGCCTATGGGGCAGACCCACCCGCCCTAGCATAGAATAAAGCAAAGTTAGAATGAACCAATGACCTCATTCATATTATACCCAAATCCTCTGTCATCAAAGGAGTAATTTGGATCTTTTATTATCATAACAGCCATTATCCAGGTAATGACCTGAGATAGGATTGTTTTCTGTGTAAACACAATAATCACTAACCTTGTAAAATACAATTTAAACAATGACCATTATTGTGTAAATGAACCTGGGCACAATTCAGTCAACTGGAAGAACTGATCCAGGCAAAATGGTCTCCATTGAATATGCCTTTTAAAAAAGGTGTATCTTAATTTGTCCTGTGCCCACTGCCTGGTCGTAATATCAGCAGAACAAAATTCAGTGGTTTTATCCGTCAAGAGCTTCTCTTCGCCCATCTCTAAGTTTGGACCTGTTTAAGTCCTGAAGGGTTGTGATTTAACAAAATTGTATTAGGAGGCAATGCCATTTTAGACAAATGCATTCTAGCATGTTGCTTTTGATAAGACTACAATATTGATAATATGTCAAAACCATTCTCCTCACTTGTGCGTATTATGCTGAAAATGGCAGCTTTGACGTAAAGCATCTTCTTGTGAGTTCATTAGCTAAACTTTTATAAACAAACCACATGATGCCTTTCCCTTAAAATTATAAATTCGAAACATGGTTTTTCCGGTGATTCATTTTCCTGTCCCCCTTTCTAAAATGTTTATGTGTTTTTGGTATGGGGAGGGGGAAATAGGCATTTTGCTTGTTTGTTAGGTGACCTAGCGGTTGGGTTTCACTTACAAGTTCGTTTGAAACAAACCCATATATAATTTTATTTCTGTTATTGCCCTTTTTTTGGAAGTTGCTATAATCCCTTGAAATTAAATCCTAAAATTCTGAAGTCTGATATTTAAAGAAATGTAAAGATTTTATCCAGTTTTGGTGTTAACCTATTAGTCCATGGTTTTTATTCTTTCCTGTCTTCTAAGATTGTGGGAAACACTACAGTAACGGCTTTGGCTCCTTCTTGCTTGACTTATGCTTAAAGGGAGTAAATAGGGGTGCCTGGGTGGCTCAGTGGGTTAAGCCTGTGCCTTCGGCTTGGGTCATGATCTCAGGGTGCTTGGATCGAGCCCCACATCGAGCTTTCTGCTCAGCGAGGCGCCTGCTTCCCCCTCTCTCTCTGCCTCTCTGCCTGCTTATGATCTCTCTCTCTCTCTGTCAAATAAATAAATAAAATCTTTCAAAAAAATAAAGGGACGGGGCGCCTGGGTGGCTCAGTGGGTTAAAGCCCCTGCCTTCGGCTCGGGTCGTGATCCCGGGGTCCTGGGATCGAGCCCCGTATCGGGCTCTCTGCTCCGCGGGGAGCCTGCTTCCTCCCCTCTCTCTCTCTCTGCCTGCCTCTCTGCCTACTTGTGATCTCTCTCTCTGTGTCAAATAAATAAAATCTTAAAAAATAAAAATAAAAAAATAAAGGGAGTAAATATTCCACAAGTTTCTACGTACAGACAACTTTCTGTATTTCACTCTCATTTACTAACCAAACCTCATGTCTTCACAGGCTGGCAAGTCTAAATTTCAAGCACCCAAATCGCAATCTCTCTTACACGAGTATTTTCAGATAGATATCATCAGCCCCTCAAACTTCAATACCAAATCAAATTTATCTGTTCTCTCCCCATACTCCTTAATATTTCTATGGTAACCATTCTCTCAGCCACAGAGACTCTGAAATTCCATTTTTATCACCTACATCCTCTAAAGCCTTACTATTCAAAATGTCCTATGATCAGTGGCTTAACATCCATCAGTGTCACCCAGGAGTTTATTAGAAATGCAGAGTTTCAGTGGTTTAGACGGTTAAGTTCCTACCCTAGGCTCAGGTCATGATCCCCCAGCTCTGGGAAGGAGGCTCCGAGGCAGGCTCCCTGCTTGGCGGAGAGCCTGCTCCTCCCTCTCTTTCTGCCCCTCCCACCCACTCATGCTCTCTCTCTTTCAAATAAATGAAATCTTTGGAAAAAAAGAAAAAAAAGAAAGAAAAGAAATGCCGAAGTTCAGATGTCACCATACCTGTACTAAATCAGAATCTGCATCTTTACAAGGTTCCCAGGTGATTGATATGCATATTAATTCCTGAGGAGCGCTACTCTAACTTTTAGAGGAAAGGGATTATCTTTCTTACCTAGAATG